ATTTAAAATTTTAAAATTTAAAAAAAGATCCCGATCCCCGATTTTTTTCTCCCGATTCCGATCTTTTGAAAATAACCTGATCGGCTCCGATCCCCGATCACGTGATCGGATTGGGACATCTCTAAATAAAACAAATGTCTCTCAGAGGGGCGTGGGGAGGGGCTCCTTATTTTCATCTAAAGTAACAGACAGAGAATCATAACTTTTGAAACAGGGCTGAAACAGAGGGGTTTATGGGTAATACTGCAATGATCTGTTTGGTGTTTGGCGCCAAACAGATCAGAGACGTGTTTTGTATATATCTGAGACCTATAATATATTGATGAAAAACAGTATGATAGGGGACCTTTAATATCCACTTTAAACTGCACATCATGGCTTAGAGAAGACAGACTGGATAAGACGGTTGATGAATCTGCAGTTTCTTATAAATAATTGCAAGCGCTTGATAGATAATGCTCTCTGAGGAGAGACACAGGGTTAAAAATGCAGTGTTTTAATGCAATGACTTATCATGTCAGCACGAATCACGAGCGATGAGAGGAAGCCTTCTCCCTGCAGAATTACAACCACTCTGCGTTCACAATCTGATGCTGAGGTCAGGGATCGAAAACAAAAATGCAGCTTGACGCTCATAAATCTTCCTCCCGGCGGGACGCGCTGCACTAAATCATGTTCTCACAACTCGTGTGCAGCTAATGTTATTCAGCCAGATGATGACCAGAAGCTCACTGACAACAAATTCAGAGGAAACACGCTCATTCAAAACACCCACTGGTGAAGCCTCTTTCCTGAAGAGTGGACAAGAGAGCGCCTTTAAAAGAAATTAATCAAGCTCACTTTGGCACGGTCAACAAATTTGCGGCTTACCGTGCGTATGGTAATCTCATATGTGTACTCCCCATTCGATGGAAAAGTAATCCCACTCTACTCCCTTTTCAAAGACCCAAAAAATCAGCAATGATAAGTAGCTTCCGGAAGAATTGATTTAAAATGGAAAAGCGGAAAGTCCCCAAAGCCAAAGAAAACCTGCACTAAACCTGGAAAACCAATCATCAAGTTTATCTATTAAACATCTTTAAACACGGTTGTTTTTTTAATATATCAGTATATATAATCCAGACTCTCGACAAACGTGCATTGAGAGTACGTTTTCCCCCGCGTCCCTGCTTTTTTAGGCGTCATGGTACTTATAATACTTCCTCAGATTGTTTAGGAAGCTGTGATGGAGATTCAGGCTCCGGAAAACAAATTCATAAGAGAGAAAGGCTGATGCTAAAGTGGGAAGGGGTCGCTGGTGATGAGGGCGGAGAGGGTCAAAAAAGAAAAATGTAAGAGGATGAATGAGCGCTTAGGCCTCTTTGGGCAGCTGCCCAAAATGGGTGAGAGGGAAGGGAGGTGAACAGGATGAGAGAAGAAAAAAGAGCCCCACAGAGTTTGCGGGTTAGACAGAGTGTGGGTGATAACTGCTGTGATTAAAGGGGTACTAATATGCTCATTTCTCATCTCATACTGCCTGTGCTGCAAACTGTCTGAAAACCAGAGCCCAGTCTGCTCTGATTGGTTAGCTGGCCGGCTCTGTTGTGATTGTTCAAAAGCTTAGAGATGTCCCGCCCCTTAGCCCATCACGTACAATGTGTTCTAGTGCTAGACAGTGTTACATACTGATGTCACTTTGTTCCAGAAGTAAACAAAGGAGGTCAATGGAGTTATTTCAGGCATTGAAATTGAACTGTTCCAGAAGTAAACAAATGCCTAAAAACCTATATAACACACAACAGGAAAGAAGAAACCCCAAAAAGCATTATAGGGCCCCTTTAAAAGTAAGGAGAGTTGAAATCATGCACAGACACATGGGCGGTGGTGGCGAAGTCCATAGAGACTTGGCTTGGCAACTGGAAGGTCACCAGCTCAAGTCCCGGAAAGACCAAGTGCTACCTAGGTGTCCCTGAGCAAGGCACCGTTCCCTACACTGCTCCCTGGGCGCCGTACATAATGGCAGCCCACTGCTCCTAACACTAGGATGGGTCAAATGCAGAGAAACAATTGTGTTACATAGTACCTGTGCTACGTAATGACAATAAGTTCAATCTTCTTCAAGCAAGGATTCATTATATTAGTATCAGCTTATTGTATGTTTGCACACAACACACTTTTAAATGCCTTTGGTGATACAACAAATCATCTGGCAGCCATATTGCAGAGCCTCTGCTGTGTCACTTGAAACAAATGGATGAGCCAGAGATGATTTGTGTCCTGGCACCAGAGGCTAATCATGAACTAATTATAGCTCACACATTCACTAATGAGTCTTTCCAAGTCTGCTAGTACGGCTGCTGGCGGATGCTTACATAAACAGTTGTTGCTCTGGTAAATTAGCGGGCCAATTAGCTGATGCCAAACTAAGCTGAATCTTAATCATGATGTTTTTAATTTAGGGAAATACCACTATCTGCACATGGGGACGTGTGTGGCTGAGTTTGTTTGTGGAGGAATGTTACTTTGGTGTTTTAAAGTGAACGTTTGGATTCACACAATAACACAAACAAACCAACTGATGGATGCAAAAGTAAACCAGCAACTCCTGTCTTCTGCCAGGAAACATGATTTATTTTGTCAATGGAGTCTGGTGATTTTGGGCTGAGATAACAGCTTAAGTTTCCTGATTGAAAAGGCTGTCTCACAGTAAAATAAAGCTGTGAAAACATCCTAAATAAAGCGAGAACTTTAACAAAAATTTACTTTTTCCGGTGTCTAAAAAAGGTTTTGCTGCTATTTTCAGACTTTTTCTCCAAAATGGGGGCAAAACTGTAGGTATCACAGTGACTCTGGTTGAATACAAACTCATTTAAAAAAGTCCAAACTATTACTTTAACAGCTCACATATTATTTGTGCTGATTCTCCAAATGAAATAGTTGAAAATGGTTGTGGTTGGATGTGCATGTGAAGTGTTTTTAGGGGCTTCAGTTGTATATCTGGAGGAAAATGGTCTTTTGCTTCACACAACATAAAAAATACTACTATAAAACTATTGGGGTCAAACAGCAGGAACACTGTCAGTCGTTGGCAGGATTTACTTCAACCGAAATAACCTTTATTTATCGTTTAAGTGTATTTTAATGTTTCAGGAGGAAGACTCCCCATTCTTTCATCTGCTCCGGTTGGCTATATTAACTTGCTGTTGTGTGCAGATAATGCAAACTCCAGACTTCCTCCCATGAACACTTGCAACAGTTCAGCGACGTTTACTTCCCTCAAAGGCTTTTATAGTGAAACTACTACCTGGGGTGATGCCTTTCATAATTTAGAGGTATTCACAGCAGTGCTTCTGTTCAAAAAAGGAAGGGTATGGAAATATTGGAAAGTACATAATGATGAAGTAAACATGTGCGATTAAAGCGCAGTACGTACTCTGTATACTGTTCATCTCAAGTGTCATGGCCATTTCCACTGATCATAATTCCATTGTTGAGGTCTACTAGAATAGATTTATATTGTGCAATTTTCCAAACTCACATTGGTTTCTCATACAGCATCTCTGTAAACTACGTGTATTCACTGAATTTCACTCTCTGCCTTTAACGACTCGTTGTAGCTCCAGTAGCTCCAGCCCCCACCCTCCCTGTGAGCACAGTGTGCTCTGATTGGTCGGGACGTTGTGAATCGCGCTGAGCTCCGTGGAGGTGTTGTTTCCTTGTTTAGCGATACACAGTGAAACACAGCCAAACTCACCCTGAGCACACACAAAGTCACAGCCGAAGTAAAAACAATAAGTGTGGCTTGATATTGAGTAAGAGAAAGGGGCGGAAAGTTTCCGGTGAATTTCTGGAAAGTTTCCATGGGAAGTTAAGCTGGGGAATTTTGGAAATATTCGATGCAAAATTAAACAAAAAAACATGACATTTCAACAGATTTAAAAAAAAAAAAAAAGTTTTTTAGTGGAACAGAACAAGTTTTAATTATTTTATTGAAGAACGAAAGTACGAATGTTGAGTTAAATGTTACTCATCCCCCCCAACCCAACTCATTAAATAATGAACAAAAATGCACCCCCCATCCAGAGATCCCCACAAAGTCCAATGTTAAATGAAAAGAGCCCTTTTCCCTCCAAAAAGTCCCATTAAAATTAAACATGCAAATCTTCCTTCAAGCGATCCTCTGCATTTTGGCTAAACCCTTTCAGTCAAAGGGCTCTTCCTGGGCCTCATCAACATCCAACTNTGTCTGTTATCAGCCTGCAGCCAGGGAGCAGAGATCAGCAGAGCTGCCTGCACTGAGTGTGTGTGTGAGGAAGTCCGTGGATAGGTCAATTTGGATCAATCAGCGGGGGCTTAACTAACGGCTCCACGGATTGGTCCATTTTGTTCCGGGTACGGTTGACATCATGCGTACCCGGAAGAATCAATGGACAGTGACGTATCTCCAACGAGGCGTTTTGGGGAGGTATTTTCTGTGTTAGAGTTTTACTCGCTACAGGGTGTGCTTTGAGGGTTTTGACTCTGCAGACCGTTTACATGCATAAAAACCTTCATAACACACAAGGGGACGGGTAATAACCGGAAAAGCATGACATGGGACCTTTAAGTTAAAAAAGGAGGTACTTGTACTTTACTTAATTATTTTCAAATTTAGATAATTTATACTTTTACTCCACTACATTTTGTAGGCAATTGTTGTACTTTTCACATTTATTTTACATATTCAGTGACTAATTACTTTGCAGATTTAGCTTATAATTTAGCAATAGCTCACGACAGGCCGTGGTATATGCTCATTATATCACAGCTAAGGGGCGTGGTTCGGCCCGACGCGAAGTGTTTCCCCTCCCATCTTGTCTGTTTCTGCTGATTGTGTGCACCTGGTGCCCCGGTGTTGTCTCCTCCCCTCTCACCTGTGTCTTGTTCAGTTGATTAGTTTGTGTGCATTTAGGTTCTGGTTTTTCTGTTGGTCTTTGTGGGATTATTGATGTTGTTAGAAGGTTTTTGTGTTTTGCCATGCCTGATTTTACTTTGTTGCTCGTTCCGCAATAAAAGTATTTGGATTTGGATAGTCTGCATTTGGGTCCTGTGTACCTTGCCCTCCAGCCGTGACAATGACATATACATTACTAAAAGCTAAGTAAAACTAGCCAGTGTGTGTACCAATAGCTTTACCAAGTGCAACATTTAAGTTATGAACACTATATGGTGCTTATTTGTGCCATTCATCACGACCAGTAATTGAACTTTTGGTACTAAAAATATAATTTGATGCGAATACTTTTGTACTTTTACACTGTAGTATCGCTTCTTTTACATAATTGCTGACGTTTTGTTTTTGCAAGGATCATAGTGTATTATAACTCTCATAGTTGTATTACCTTATCATCTTTCCATTATGCATTTACATCACTGTTTTGATTCACATTATAGTGAGTTATTCTTCTAAACAAAATGTCAGTTTCCAGCATTAATGGATCTGATTACTTCTATCACCACTGCTATTCAAACAAGCAGCAATATTTAAATCATTTGAACATGTCTAACTCTTCCTCCCCTCACCTTCACAGTGGTGTAGTTGCTGCTCTCCTGAACGTGCAGCAGAGTGCCGCTCTTGCTCCGCGTCCTGAACTTGACCTCCAGGCTGCTGGGCCCGGCGGGGTCAGAGGTCGCGCCCTGCAGGGCCTGCTTCAGGAGGACGTCCCGTTTAGGGCCCTGCTTCAGGGAGTAGTCCAGGCGCCCGGTGCCATCCAGGGACAGGGCGGTGTCCGCTGTCATGTCTGCGGGACAGAAAGATGGAGAGTAAACGTAATCCTTTTTCACAGCCGACTGTAAAACTTACATTTTTCCTCTTAAGGCGCAATTTATTTTCCTAGTCCGAGTGCCATAACCACTAACTGGTCCTTACATTCTCACAAGTGGTTTCAAATGTCTTCCCTAAGTGGAAGAGACAATGAAACTACACTCGCTTCAGAGTTTCATATTAATAGTTTAAGTGGAAATGTAATCCAACACATTTCTGGTCATTGCTTGATGAAAATAAGTTTTATACATCTTGGAAGTCACATTCAATCACTCTTTTTCCCCTATTCACAATATCTCTACGAAAATGGTTGTATAGAAATAAAGGCTCTATAGGTACCAACTCCCAATACAAAATATCTCCCAAATGACCCAATGCACCATCCCTGAAGTGGGCGTAATCATTTTCCAATTTTTTTATTTTTAGGCCATTTATCCCCCCCCCCTAGCTCTAGACAAATATACTATGAACGGTGCGTATCTATGACCACAATATACAACTCCTGATGGCAAACAGGAAAGCTACTTATCAGGCAGAACACCTTTTCCTAAACGTGTTGCATACCAGAATGTGACATGTTCACGTTTTTCTGAAGTCACATTTCAAGATTCAGCCTTATAACAAGTTTTTATTTAAGATATTATACAGTACTGTTGATAAATAGTATATCCAGAAAACAGTCCTTAGAATGTGTCTTTCATATGATGTCAGATTAACCCTAACGAGTATGACATTGGCAGCCATTAAAAATATAAATGAAGAAATAAAACAAATGTATTTTTGAAATGTGAAGACCAGGGGAGAGTCTCAATCAAAAGGGCAGAGCAACTCCCCCTTCAAAGTTGATTTAAATACTCAATTAAAATGAAAATATACGTATTTTGTTTGTAATAATGTAAAATGCTCAATTGAATGTAACTGATGTTAATGAATGCCAGTCTCCTTCTCCCTCCCTTATAATTTCTTGAATAAACGGCACAGAGCAGTATAAAGCGAAATCGTACGGTCACTGAGTTTGCGGCTGGATTCAAGATGACGCCACACCAGCTTTGAAAATGTCAAAGTTCTGTGGCAAAATCTGTTTGGTGAATCAGGGGGTTTTTACATCTGTGGGAATACTTTGGTGGACATTGACACACACATTTGTGCTGCTGAGTATGAGCTTCATATTTGGACAAAACACATTTAAACAGCGCTAATGTGTAAGTATAGGCAGTTCACAAAATGGACCTTTCTGGTGAAGATCCATTTTGGTTGTAGTTTGAATGAGATAGTACTTAACCAACCAGCCCTCCAGAAAGCTGCCAGGCTTCTAGCAGCACACGTTTTGCTGTAATGCAGGGATAAGCTCAGCTAAGACACTGACTGATGGGTAAGATTTACAACATATACTGTAACCACAACATGAAGATGGCTGGTAGGATCTGAGGCACGGCACTGGCTTAACATTTTTTACATTTCTCTAAGACCTCATTGCTTCCTTCTGTGGAGAGGATGTTCCTACTTGTCATTCCCTGCTCTCTTCTTCCTGGTTATATTTTTCTTTTCTGGAGATGAAACACAAGACTGAGAGAGTACGCTTCAGTTTTGTGAAAGGAAAAGTTCTGTGATCGTCTTTCGTGAGGCAAATCAAACGATTCACCGCAAGCTCAAACCCGATGGTGAACAGAGACGAATGAAGTGCAGAGGTAACCAGACTTACCGGTAATAATAAGGTTTCAACATAAGTGTGGTATTGATGATATGCAACGTTGCTGAACCTAATGTAACACCTACACAGTAGCGTACTTAGATTAGTGTAAGTCCTCTGATGTGGAGTATTTATACATTTATTAAATATATATTTCTTTTTTTTGCTTTTGGATTAAAGGCATACAATAATCAGCAGTCTTGTTTTTTTACACTGTAAGTAAAAAAACGTTTTTATTTTTGAACAAAGTAAATGTATGATCCAGTGAACTCATTCAATAAATAAAAAGTAGAAAACAATTTGTAGTAGTTACAAAAGGAAATACACAAATACTTTGAAATAAAGCTGCAGTGATGTGGTCTATATTATGCTAAATAGTGCAGTTTGATGACTCATGAGGGAAGGATCATAAATAATCATTATAGAATATTCCTTAGTAAGTGCAGACTCAGCAGTAAAACTTCAAAGGGATGTACTTACATTTCTCACAGAATTTGCCGGTGAAGCCATCCACGCACTGGCACTGCTGCCAGGACCAGCGATCCAAGCAGGTTCCCCCATGTCTGCAGGGGCTGGCGGTGCAGGCTCCTTCCAGTCTCGGACATCTGCACACACAACGACACACACAACGTCAGTTTGACAAGTCAGACGCTCAGTCTGCAGCCGGGGGGTCCGCCGAAAGAAGAAGCTCAGAAAGAGAAACGGGGCAGATGAGCCTTGATTTCTCTCCCCGTGCGGCAAAACATAAAGAACCCCGGGGTAATTTGCATATTAAAAGATCTGTTCTCGCCTCAGTATTCACCAGCGGGACAGAAAAGAAGAAAAAAGAAATCTCCGGAATTCTGCAATTGGTTTCCCCCGTCAAAAATGTGCATTATGAAAAAAAACGTTTTAAAAACTCTTGAGAGGGTTTGGGAGTGTGAACAGATGTCCCACAGCGAGAGTCGACAAGGTTAGAGAAGACGGACAGATGGGAAGAAGAGGGGGATGATGGAGGGGGTGAACGGGAGTAAAAGGGCGGGGGGGGGGTTATGCCGACCTGTCAAGGATGCCCTGCGATGCCAGCGCCTGACTGGGTTCCAGCGGGCGGCCGTTGACGTTGAACTCCATGATGCAGCCCACAAAGTCGTGGGTGGCGACTTGACCGCGCCGATGGGACGGGCTCTATTGACCTGACGCCTCCGACAGAGAGCCGGTTGGGCTGCACGTCCAGGATCCTGCACACACACACACACACACAAATATGAACAGAGGCACAGAGACTTAAATGCACGCAGACACAAAATTACGTATGCACAAGAATCCAATGCATTCAAGTATGCACGCACGCACACTAACAGACACACACACACTTCCACAGAAAGACACTGTGGGTCAGCGAGTTTCACCGTCTGTACACCTCTGTGCCCTTTCTTCATCTGCCAAATCTCTCTTTCTCTCACACACACGCACACCCATATACACGCAAAACACATGTACAGCGTTTCAGAGTAGAGAGTGTAGAAGCATTGATCTTCCAGTCATTTATTGAAAGTTTACAACATAAACGGATCAAGATATGAATCAGTGGGGCAGCCAGATGATTACCGGTATAGTACAGAATTTTTTTATAACGTTCATATAAAAGCTAGTCGAACTTCTAAACAATAATGCTAGTTGTGTGATTTAGCTCAAATGTTTAGCTTCTTTTCTCAACATTTCGACTTTGTGCTTGACACTTCAATTTCATTCTCGGAATGCAAAATAGAAACAACTCTTCCTCCTCTCATTTTCTGCTCTACTTCTTGCCTTACTTCTCTTCCATTAACATTGTCTTATGCTACAACATGGGGTAAACTAAAACCACATCTTCAACAGAAAAACAATTGTTTCTGTCATACTTTCCATTATTTTGCCAGACACGGACAATTTCATTATGCATTGACTTTTCCAAGCCTAGGACCTTAAACTGTCAACGCTCTTTCAATGTATACATTAGGATCCTAGAAACAGAACATCTGTGTCATGCATGTGGTGTGTGTGTGTGTGTGTGTGTGTGTGTGTGTGTGTGTGTGTGTGTGTGTGTGTGTGTGTGTTTGAATTCTTACCAGTCCGTGTGCACTGCCACATTGCTCACAGCACAGTAGCCTGGTTCCTGGTCATCACCACACTGGTCCACAGTCAGCGATGCAGCCTATATGATGATAGAAACACACACGCATATCACATGTCAGAAAAACAGCTGTGAAGTCGCAATGCTTCAGTCAATTACTCCTTTTTAAAACAACTATTTCTGGTAGACTGTGGTTGACAGTCTCTTTGTTTCTCCATCTTTATAATCAGGTGCATGTGTGTGTGTGTGTGTGTCACTTGTGCTGGTTTAGTTCAAACATTGTCATGGTAGCCTACTACTCCAGATGTTCCCTAGAAAATAGTATAACTGGAAAGTCAATACTTTTGAGGAATGATGTAGAACATGCTCATTAATCAAAGCAAAGAAAAACACCCACATCTAACGGTGTAGGTGGGTGGGTTTAGTTACTGTTGGTTGGAGCTATGCTAGCTGTTTCCCCCTGTTTCCAGTCTTTGTGCTAAGCTAAGTTAGCTGTGACTGCTAGCTTTGTATTCAGCGTACAGACATGAGAGTGGTAGTAAAGCAAAGAAGAACCAATATATCTAACAGTGATGGTAGCTGGAGTTTGTTATCTTTGTATGAAACCATGCTAGCTGTTCCCCCTTGCATCCGGTCTTTGGGCCAAGCTAAGTTAGCTGCTAGTGGTAGCTTTGTACTTAGCATAAAACATGAGAGTGATATCAATCTTCTAATGTTACTCTGCCAGAAAAGCAAATGCGCATCGCTAAAAAAATATTGAAATGTTCCATAAACATTGAAAATGGTCTGGAAAAGACAACAAAGCGTGCATTTAGCCACATTCTGTAAATGTCACAATGAATGACGGTCACAGGATTTGCACACATGTTCATGTCAATGCTTATTTTGCTGAGGTTCTGACAGCAAGACTATATTTAAAAATCCTTTGAAAAATGTTTTGTTTTTTGTGTGCACATCTTTTATGACTGAAAACCTTTTTCCAGACTGAACATCTTCGTATGCACGGCAGCATGACTCTCACTCCAGGGTTCTGCTTCAGCCCACTAGGGGCTACTTTAACCGCTACAATTATTTCTCCCTGAGAATTTGTGTAACTAAGCCCTTTTGTTAGCTTGAGCTTAGCCCACCAAACGGCAAGTAGGACAATTATTTTTCACCAATTCATAACAGGGGTTGATGGGAGAATGGCATAAGAAAATGCCATACACTACAGCAAAACATTTCCCATTTCCCGTTAATGGCACAAAGCTTTTGTCCAGATGTGGGTTATTCTCTTGCTCCCTCTGTGCTCTGAGAGGGAACGACCCTACGAGGAAGAAAATAAATGGGCTGGTGAGAAAAAAGTCCGGAAAAGTGTTGAAAAACCGGGGCAATCATGCTCAACCTCTCCTGGATCTTAAGTAAACACGGACCACACCAGCCCGGATCTCCAACACAAATCATCCAGGGGAGCACGACCCCACCAAGCACACACACATACAGACACACACACACTTTCCCTCACAGTACACTTGAGTCACACTTGAATCAGACACATGGACACGTATACAGAAAAAGAATAAAGCACATACTGTGACAAAAGCAAGGCGAGGAACAACCAGACATATTTGCTTTAAACACTGGAGGATTTTTAAAGTGCCATAAAGAACGTCACATCCACATGAACATCTTATTAATGTCTCTCCCTGTGATCAAAGGGACTCCATCCACAACTTAAATACAGTGCAGTTACTGTCAAGTGTCTCACTGTTGTGGAGAAAACATGAATCTCAAGGATTCCTCTTGGAAATGAATACGAATGTACGAAAAGATGAGGAGCGTGCTTTTGTGCTTGGCTAACATCTGAGGAAATATGAAGAAAGCGCCACTGGATTGTTTTCGCCATGACTAATATCATGGACAGACCATAGCATTGCTCTTTGTTGTGGTGCAGGCATTGAGTAATGACTTTAAGGCATTAGTTTTCAGCTTGTTTCTGGGAAGAATAATAAAAAGGGGTTGATGATTAGCTGCCAATGCTAATCAGCTACGCCGAGTCCTAATCCGTCAAACTACATTTCACAAACTTCATTCATAGAAGAAGTTGTTGTTTGTTCCTCCTTAACACGGATTTAAAATCAACAAGCAGCTGTGTTCTTGCTTGGAAGTTCTCATCTGTGATCTTTTCCAGTCCGTTACTGTCACATGTTTGTTGTTACTCTACCACTAATTGACGTTAATCTAATTTCGCACAAATGTCATTTACAGTACTCCTCTCTTTCTCTCCTCTCCAGCTTTGCAGAGTAGACATCTTGAGGCTTCTGCCTTTTTTATGTTGCTTTATTCTGCACATATTTCTATCTTGAGATAATACCTTATTATGTATGATGTATATATACATATATTTAGCAGATGGGGATGAAATTGTAGTTTACTTTGAGTCGTGTTGAACCAATGAAATTCCAATATTCACCATCGTTTTTGCTCAGTTTTGGTCTCCACCACCGACTAACGTAAAGTGCTATTTAAAGAGTTTATTTTCCATTTCAGTCATTTGTATCTTGAGATAATATTATTTCAAGATACAAATGATACAAAGGTCATCCCCATCTGTTAAATATAGACAACTGTTTGCTTACAAAATCATCATATCAACTTCTCTAATGTGATCAATGGTGCTGCTTTACCCCTGAATTCATCCAGGTTCAAATCGAAAACGGATTTTTTTGCATTAAAACCAGTAATGATGTCACAATGTTATTGGCATTCATATCAGTCTACATATTGAACCCATCCATTATTTGATACTTTGGCAAACTGCTTTATTATTCCTACTGCTGTGAAACTCATTGTGCCGAGGAAAATTGTGTGTCATTTATTGCATTTGACAATTAAACGGATTTGGACGCTGATTATAATTCCAATTGTAACAGTATCTGTTAACTTTTCTGCTCCCTCTGATTACTTGGAGCCTTCGCAGTGAAGCAGTGCATGACCGTGTCTGTGGTTTCTGTCTGCTTTTGACATTGGCTCAGAATTCAGGAGTCAGGAACTGAGAGCAGACCTCAAGCCTGACCACCGAAATGACCCACAGCACCTTCTGCAAACACAGTGATCAGGTTCACTTACAACGCCTGAGGGACTCGCCACTTGAGTCGCGACACACTCCCATTTCTGTCTCACTCTTCAAGAGCCCTTACATGCCCACCACTGCATTTGATTTGCAGGGCAATAGACGCAGACAGTCTCCACGTTTGCTGTATTCCTTTCCATCCCGTCACTCTGCACCTTCTCAAAGCTGACAATTTAACGATTTTACCAGCTTCCTATGAAAGCCTCGGTGCATGGTGGGAAATGACAGATTTGAAGTCCAGCAGGAGAGTTACATTATAGAAGCTTTGACAGGGCCTGCTTGGATTTTTTCCCCCTCTTTGCTTGCCACTGCATTGCTGGCAGGACGAAGCCTCTCATTCAGAGCACAGGAGACAGAGTTTCAACCTTCAGGGCCATTTTGGATCCTCGAATTGTAAATCACAACGAGCAATAAAATTTAATTACAAACCTTGAAAACCATAAGCTGAGCTACCCACGGTTTGGGGGAAGTTTAATTATCATCTGATGGTGTAAAAGAGAATTTAAGGCCAAATGTCGATGCAGGTTTTTAGCAATAAAACACAGGACATAAATGCTATAGATAGTGCAGCACACGTTGTCAGTCCATACCATGTGGTGTTTTTTCAAGAATGCACCATTAAAAACCTGTAAGCTAATATCTACCATAAAAATAGACGTTCTTACCATCCCAGCTCTCCTGGCGATGACTGTGTGGAACTGCCCATCCGAAACTTTTATCATAGTCATCAGTTTATAAGTTCCACTTCCCAAGTTGAAGGAGAAGCGCATCCGTCCCTCGAAGATCTCCAGAGCCAGGAACTCCGCCTTGTCTCCGGTCTGGTTATCGTGGTTGTACATAAGCAGCGCGTTGCTCTTCAGGGTAGCAAACTTAATATATATGTAGTTATTGTTGGGATCCAGAGACGGAAATTCCATGTAGGAGAGCTCCTCAAAGCCGTAGCTGTTAAGTTCACAGTGTTTGCCGAAAACCCCTGAGGACAGAAACCAAAAGAGGAATCAGAGAGGAAGCCAATGAATGATTTACGGTGAGATAAAAATATCTACACATAAAACAGAATCTTTATCGAGCGATAATATTAAGGTTTGTATTCAGTAGTACCAAAGCAGATATCATTGATGTTGGATCATAATCTTGCATCCTTACATTTTTTTTTTTGCCCATATTGGAGGCTTATGATGACAGAAGAAATAATAATCATGACAAATGGAGACACAAAACGAAATGACAGTAGCCCCTTTTAAGTAATGGGATTATTATAGCATGACTTTTGGAGCGCGGGAGATTGCTTGTCTTAAACATCTTGCTTTTCAATTTACCCAGGCTCGCTAATACCCTAAAAAGTTTCCTACTATTACTTACCAAATGGACAATGACAGAGATATTCATCCACCAGATTCTGACAGGACCCGCCATTAAAACACGGGTTACACTCACAGTGATTGATGATGGAATCACACGTTTTGCCTGGGTTCACAGAACAACACAAATTAAAATGGATGGGGTGGCAGACAACACAGGAAAACCTCGAGGGGAACTCAGTTCACTTTCCCCCACAGGCCAAGTCATGCAGGCCTTTCATCACATCACAGATGAGAAATGCACTGCAAAAAAAAGGAAGAATCTGGGCTCCAACACTTCATTTAGAGTTGTAGCGAGTCTTAAAATCAAATGTTTGTCAGAACAACCATAAAATACATAATTAGAAGATGTAATTTCATCTGTTTTAGTGAAGTTTCACTCCATCCAAACTTCAGAGATGCTATTGAGGAATACACATTACTTGTCCAAGATGACATCACTTGATCCAAAACATCTTGAAACTTTCTTTGGAAAGAAATCATGATCTCACTCAATTGGCGGATTATTCTCACTAAGAATAATCAGATTTTCAAATTACGTTTGGATAAGGCTTTTTTTTGCAGTGCAGAAAGAGAAACAGTCGCAAATGTACATAAATCACTGTCACATATATATGTCAACATGAAAATGAGTTGGTGCAACTGTACATCATGATAAGAAATGTGACACGGATAATAAAAATAAAGGGGCAAGGCAATATATGGTCCAGACATGGCACAATACAAAAACACTGACATTCTGCAAATATATTTTAGTCTGTAAATCCCGAGACAAGCTGCTTAATGGAGATTGATTCCAGTGCCAAAAACCAGGCGGTGAAAACAGGAAGTTGAGAGTTCACTGTGAGGGCATGCAAACTACTGTAAGTCAATAGGTGCATTTATTCATAAGGGTAATTCATCTTGATGAAACGTTAGAGATTTGTGGTAATATTTTATCGTCATAATAAAAAGGGGCAGTAATGACTTGACTTGAGGTTAATAGCCTGCTTTGAAAATTTCTTTCAGATGCAGTCAGCGGCAGGACAACATGCACTCAAATGACTTTTCGAAGTAAATCCACTTAAAATCTACTCCCCTCGTATCAAGGGGTAATGATACAGTGTTTTCATTAAGTTTCCAAATCAAAAGGCCTGATCGGATTTGTTATAAAGCTTCTCATTTATCAAACAACTCAAAACTGAGGTAAATGTGTGAAATGTTGATTATAAAATCCATCTGTGTACAGTTAGATCAGGAGTGTATCTGTGTGTGGTCATAGCTGCAAGCACATGAAGGCACACAATGAAAAGTGATACTGGTGAAATGTGTAAGGAGACTAAACTCAAGTCTTCACTAGGGCCAGCTTCGCATCATCCTTTTTATTAAAGAAAACATGGCAGGCTGATACGCATCACAGCTGATACCCCCCAACTAGTAATCCAAAAAACAAACTGTTTTTGGCAGACATGATTGACCGCTATGGCTAAAACACTGCTTGGAAACATTCAGAAGCAAATATTTTCATTGGACCCAAAGCACATGCCTGAGTACATTATTGTGTGAGTGTCAATGTGCGTGTGTCTGTGTGTCCACATGTGTTTTTTCCAAGCCTAACATGATTGACTGTGTAGGCAGATGTAAAATGTGACTCCTGCGTGTATAGTACCTGCAAAGCCGGATTTGCAGAGGCAGTTGAAGCCGCCTGGGAAGTTCTGGCACAGCGCCCCGTTCTTGCAGGGATTGGAAAGGCATTCGTTGACATCCCTCTCACAGGCCATCCCGGTGAAACCTTCTGGACAGGTGCAGGAGAAACCTCCCACCAGATTGTGGCAGGTGCCGCCATTGTGGCAGGGCGATGGCTGGCACTCGTTTATGTCTGTCTCACACAGAGCTCCTGCGTATCCTGGCCTGCAGCTGCAAGCGTAGGGCTGCAGCGGGTGGTTGGAAACAAGGATCACTGGGACACTTTCTTCTGTCTTCATATCAGGCCCGACACTGAGACGCCTCTTGCAGCTGCCTCCATTCTGGCACGGGTTACGTGTGCATGGATCATGGTCCACCGCATCTATTTGCACCCCGCTCTGTCTATATAAAATGTCTTTGATACTCTGGAAGAATGTGGCCACACCACTGGGGTTGACATATTGTCCGTGGCCTCGTTTCACAGCTGCCATGAGGAAAGTCTGATTGTTGAGTTCAAATGCTCCATAAAGCAGCACCCCGGTGCCTAGGCCTGCAAGCTGAGAGTTGGCAATACGTAGAAAGCTGAGGTAGTGGTTGGTAAGGAAGCTTTTGACTCCTTGAGAGTTGAGTCGAATTAGTATGCTATTGTCCACTGTGGCATTCGTGAAACCCATGAAGAGGACTCGAGCTGTATTGCTGACTGACCCGTGGACGCCGTCACTGCTACGGACAGTTAATTCAAAAGTTCCATCTGTTGAGCGAGATTTTGAGTTGAGGTTGCATGTTCCAGTCGGGATATTAAACAGACCGGAGGACGGGGGAATAAGGGAGCAGTGGAACCTATCCTGAATGTCAGGGTCTTGAGGTTTGACATCTCCCAAAGATCCACCAGGAAACATGTTCCCGAAGTAGTGGACAAAGATTTCTACAGACCTCGGCTCTGAAGGATTGTCATTCTGATCGTTTATTTTGACGTGAATTGTTCCTGTGGAGGACATCTGAGGCACACCAGAGTCCTTGATCACAACAGAGAGGTAGAAGTCGCTAATCTGCTCCCTGTCGATCTCACGACTGGTGGTTAGCACTCCAGCTGGACTAAGGCTGAAGTAGCTTTTGGCAGAACCAGAACTGAGAAGGCTGTATAGGAAAGGGCCTTGGTTCGGTGCTAGATCTGCGTCTGTCGCTGAAAGCGTCGTAACTTCAACGCCTGCTCTCTGATTTTCCATCACCTCAGCATAAGCAGTTGTCAAAGTTGGACCGTTATCATTGATATCTTCCAGGTTCACAATCACTGTGGTGCTTCCAGTTGCAGGGGGTGTGCCAGTATCCACAGCAAGAACTGTTAGATTATACACAGGAGTTTTTTCTCTGTCTAGCTCTGCAGCCACAGACACTTGGCCAGATTTTGGGTTTATCGTGAACACATTTTTATCAAATTCAAGAGCAATGGAGTACGAAAACCTGCTCCAACTTGGGACAGAGTCTGAGTCCTCAGCACTCACGAAGGTTACAAGACCTCCAGGTGAAAGACCTTCGCTGATCTGCACATCATAGAGTTCTTGGGTGAAAACAGGAGGATCGTTGGCATCAAGGATGGTGATGTTCACAAACACCTCGTCAATATCAGCCCCACGGATGCTTCCCGCGTTCTTTGCCAACACCTTCAGTGAAATCTTTTCATCTTTCTCACGGTCTAGACTACCTGTGACATAAATCTGACCTGTTTTCTTGTTAATGCCAAAGCCTTTCTTTCTGCTCCTCCCAAAAATGAGGTAGTAAACCACTCCATCATCTCCTTGGTCTCGATCACTGGCGAACACTTCTCCGACCACTGTGCCTTTTGGAGCGGCTTCAGAGATTTCAAAGTAGTACTGTTTTGAAACAAAGCGGGGTACGTATTCATTGGCACCCTTAAGTTGAATGTTGACATTGGCGAAGCTGCACCGTTCTTCGTCTGGGACATTGAAAGCTTTCACTGTTAAATGGTAGACCTGCTTAGCCTCGTAATCCAAGAAGCCCTGGGTGGTGATGGTCCCGGTGTTCGGGTCAATAACAAAGAGGTCACTGTCTGATGACTGTATCACATAAGCCATGACTGCATTAGCTCCCGAATCACGGTCTGTGGCATTCAGCTTGACCACAGTGGTGCCACTGGGAACATTCTCCTGAACAATGGGGAAGTACTCCTCAGGATCAAACACAGGGGGGTTATCGTTCACATCAGTGACATGCACTGTAACAGTGACATAGCTTGTTTTTGAGATCCAACCACCGTCAGTGGCTGAAACCCTGAGCTCATGGTGTTGCTTCTCTTCGAAGTCCAGAGGCTGAGCTAGGGATAAAAGTCCAGTTTTACTATTAAGTGAAAACAGACCCTTGTCGTTGCCTGAAGTAATACTGTACGTGATAAGGCCATTCATTTCTTTGTCTTTGTCTCTGGCAGACAGGGTCCTTATTGCCGATCCCACAACAAGGCGTTCAGATACAGACGCTGAGATTTGGCTTTGTGAGAACTCAGGGGTGTGGTGGTTTTCCTCGGTGACCGCAATGCGTACTGTAGTTCGCGCCGACAAAGGAGGATTTCCTCTGTCACTCGCTGTGATGTCAATGAGGAAAACTTTATTCATATCAGATGTAAGGGAGGAGGCCACAGTAATCCATCCACCTGTTTTATCTAGCTTGAATTTACTAGAGCTGTTTCCTCCTGTTATTAAGTACTCAACAACTGAATTAAGGCCAAAGTCTTTTTCATCATGAGCGACAACCCTAATCAGTCTGGTGCCAACCTTGACACTTTTAGTGACAGGAGTAAAATAGCTGGGTAAATCAAACTCAGGGGGATTATCATTGCTGTCTACAATGTTTACAATCACTGTCGTCTCACTCATCAGAGGTTTCACTGCCCGGTCTGAAGCTGTGACAATGAAGCTGTGGCGATTTATATTTATACTACTGGCACCTGTCGAGTTCTGATATCTTAACTGCTGCTTCACAAATATCTCTCCGGTGCTGGAGTTAATTCTGAAGAACTCTGACTGGGACCGAATGAAATAGAAGATTTTGCCGTTAAAACCTTCGTCGGGATCTGTTGCGGACACCTGTGTGACCAGGGAGCCCACTTCAGTGAGCTCTGGGTGGTCCAGATAGTAAGAGGGACGACTAAATCTGGGGGCATTATCATTAATATCAGTTATAAATACGGTTACATCTGTGCTAACTGTCCAGCCAGAGTCATGGGCTGACACTTTGACAATATAATGATCCGTGTCTTCTCTATTAAGCGGTCTACTTATTGTTATGTCTCCTGTGTTTGGATTTATATTGAATGGAAGACTGCTATCTGTAATTGAATATTTGCTAATGGCATTTGAGCCAGCGTCCTCATCTGTGGTGGTGACTCTGGTGACTGTGTAACCCACCGGGGCATTTTCAGCCACTGTAGCACTGAAAATCTTGGAAAACCGTGGAGCATTGTCATTTACATCCAGGACGTTAATAATCACTTTGACTGCTGAGTTTTTGGATGGCAACCCCCGGTCAGTGGCTTTCACTTTCAAAGCGTACTGAGCCACTTTCTCCCGGTCCAAAGGCCTCGTGGATCGTATTTCACCAGTTGCTCTATTTATGTTGAAACTGTTCTCCTTGTTGCCGTCAATAATGGCGTATTCAAGCTGTCCATTAGGCCCGCTGTCCAGATCAACGGCAGAGACGATTAACACCCTCTGAGGTGAAAGGCTCTCCAGTATCTCAGCATGGAAGGGATCCTTATCAAACACTGGGTGATTGTCATTCACGTCCAGCACTGTTATTTCCACTTTCTCATAAGTGGAATACGGTGGGAAGCCTTGATCTCTGGCTTCAATCCAGAGAACGTACTTCTGAATGTGTTCATAATCTAGCGGATGTCTGATGGACACCTCGCCTGATTGCTGATCAATATGGAAGGCATTGTCCAGGTTTCCACTTGAGATGTAATACGACAAAGGACCACCCCTCATAGATGACCCAGTGACTGTTGTAACAACGTGATTGGTCGCCTGGCTCTCAGGGAACGTGAAGGCATGCTCCTTCAGTTTGATGACAGGGAAGTTTCCTCCGGTAACAAAGCGGACAGTCACGGTGGTCGTGTCCGTTTTGGGGTTAGTTCCTCCGTCTTTTACTCGAACTGTGAGGGTAACTTCGGTGTTTCCAGTTAGCTTTTCAATGGCAGTGATGGCACCTCGGACGGGGTCGATCTTGAACTTCTCAGAGTTTCGTCCAATGAGGGAGTAGTGCAGCTGGGCGTTGGAACTAGAGTCCTCGTCAGTGACAGTAACAGCGAAGACCAGAGACCCTGAAGACACAAAGGACATGTATTTAAAGAAAGCATTTGATGCATAAACATGGACATATTTAAATAATGTATATACTGGGAGAAAGAATCATTGAAAGTGAAAAAAAAGGAAAATGTACTTTAATTATAAAACCTAATTTAAATATAATATATATCTAAAAAAGACTGTTGTTGCACTGTTTGAAAAAAAGCTAAATTCCTGTATTTTGCAATAGTCAAAGGACAAATAACGTGATCCTGGTCTGAGAGCACAGTTACAGTATGAACAGGTGCCTTTAAAGACGTGTACTGACCTGCTGCGGTGGAGGCGGGGATGTGGGTGACGTAGGGGTGGTGGTGGAAGCGAGGAGGGTTATCGTTGATGTCTGACACCGTCACAGACACGGTGGCAGAGCTGGACAAGCCTTCAGGCTGCCCTCCATCTGTTGCCACCACCAGCAGCTGGTAATTGGCTCTGTCCTCTCGATCCAACAGGGAGCTGGTGATAATCTGTCCTGTAGCCGGGTTGATGGAGAACTGGCCGTGTCCTCCGGTCAGGCTGTAGCTGTAGGAAAGATAAGGTAGGAAGAAGTTTCAGTGAAAACTCTGATAAATGCTGATAAATGTCCTGAACCTACCAAAACAAGGTGATTAGATGTAACAGATTTCCATTTGACTGCTTTTACTCCTCACTATCATCAGTCCTGTCTAATTCCTTATGTTTAGTGCACATCAATCTTCTCTGTTTTTGCCTATGACATTTTTATTAAAGAGGCAGAGAACTACTTCTAGAAAAAGAAAATAAAGAAAAGTCAAGCACCTGCAAATAGTTAAATGTTTTATATGTTCCAAATAATTACATTTTGAATGGACACTAAAAAGTATACAATTCCACATAATGACTATTACAGCCTTTCCAATTTCCATAATTACTTCTCACTTGCTCTTGAGCTACTTCAATTTCTGTAATATGAGCACATCTTATGTTACAGTGAGGTAATTGTGTTATTACAGGTGTTTCTAATGTTAAAACTGACCGCCAGGTGTTACATACATAAGCCCTTCTCTGGACACAGCTTCTACAAATTGTTTGCTGCACTGCGACTGACTGAATGCTTCAATATTGTTTGAAGTGTCCGTCTATAGAGGGCACTGTTTCAAGCTTCATTAAAACACATTTAACAGAAGAATATGCCCTTTAATGGTCCCCACATTGTACTGGCTTGACATCAGAGCAGCTAACTGATTGAGCATCCAGAAACTGATTATATCAAACACAGCCACTGTTTCCTGCTACACTGCTCACAGAGCCACTACAGTTCAGGCAGGTTACGCAAATCCAGAATCATTCAGTGGATTTAGCTTTTCTATGAGGAAGATGATATTTACATTTTTAAAAAGTACAAAGTATATGCATGCAGAACACCACATAACATACAAGTCTGAGGGCCACAGTCTTAGGCTTTCAAACTAATATCATGTTTCACCAGAAGGATCCAGACGTAAATGTAAACTGACACATACATGTACACACCAGTGCATATTTTGAAAAGGCTTTTTGAAAAAATCCCCCTCCAGAGATGGGACGACAAATTACAGAAAGACTTGTGAAAACAGACAGGATGGAAAGATTATTTGGACATCGTCAACAATGTAAACAGATCTGAACAGAAACAAATCCAAGTTTGGGACTTTAATTTGCTATGAGAATCAAAACTAATAACTGAAGGTAAGCAGTTTTGGGCTCCATTAAGGGGCCTCTAACCCCCTAGGACCCCTGATGGGCACAACTCATACTGTCATGGACAATTAACATCCTCATTACCATGTTTTGGGAAACTGGAGCGTACTGCGGTACCCCCCCAATATGCACCCAGTGGGGTTACTGAGGAGAGAGGAGGGGCTGGACTCGAGTCAGTGTCCGGCTGAGAGAGACGGGCCAGAAGCTTTTACAAGCCCCCCCGTGGAGGGGGGCTGTGAGTGTGAAAAAGCTGTCGTCCAGCTTGAGAATGGCGGCCCGAACAATGATTCGAGTGATGACTAAAACTCTACACTCGCCTAAACTCCTGTCAACAATTGCAGCATCGGCCTGGAATCTCACAAAGCTGGTGAATGATTCTCTGAAGGCGAGAGGAAAGCCAAACCCAGCCCTGTGTGGAGCTGAGAGGGTATTCTCACCCCAGGGAATCAAAGAGGACTACAGCGACTTGACAATGCACAGAATTTCAGGAACTACATAGATCTCCTCTCGATGTAAAACAAAGAAAATGTTTTATTTGTCTCATGCACACAAAATATTTAATGTCCCTGGAAAATAACTAACCAAACTACGGTTTAAAGTTATTTCTATAATGTGTTATTTGGGAATGATTTCTTTTTCTTAATGAAATAACAAGATTAAATGCAATTCTAGTAAAAACATTTCCTCTTGCTTTGTCTATCCAGTAAATTGCATAATTTCTTATCTTTATTTTGAAACCCCTTTTTCAAAAAGGACTGTAGTCCCTAGATCAGTCAAAACTACTTTTCTGTATAAATTGGATTAAAAGAGCTCGACAGCGCAGAAGAGATCTCAAGGTTCATGAACCCTAATGTCACCAGTTTGAGCTTGGCCCGGAATATGTTTTGGATTTACTTACACATTTCAGTTTTAACTTTACGCAACATTTGCAAAGACATTGCAACCAGGGAAAAACGAAAACTTTAGATTTCAAAAGGTTTTCAGGGGGTCAAAGGGTAAAATAGTATGAAGGAAAATCCTCCAAACTAAAAACATTTCAGCTGTTGGATTTCAGAAGTAAAGCACAAAAAAGGATCCCCTAAAAAATGTAAAAACAGAACATAAGTGTAAGGTTATAAGACATAAGACCAACCTTATAACACCGTTGACGCCCACATCTGCATCGGAGCTGTTGACCAATAGCACATCCGCCCCTGTGGGAGCGTTCTCCATGATGGTGGTGTGGAAGGCGGAGGCGGTGAAAACAGGGACGTTATCGTTCACGTCGTCCACCAGAACTGTCACCGTCCCCGTCCCGCTCAGAGACGGATTACCTGGAGACAAACAGAGAAAAGCAAAAACTGTTAGAGACAACACCAGTTTGACTTTCTTTCAGTGGAAACGTTAAGGAGAAGAAAACCATCAGGGACAGAAGCAGCTCATTAAACTCCCCACTCACATGATGGACCTCAACATGGAGAGTTTTCTAACCCACAGAATAAGTGCGTCATTAGGACATTCTGACTTTAGACACATGGGGATTTATTGTACATGACTTGTCATTTGCAGCTAGATCCACACTGAACCAATTCATACTCCTGTGAGGGTTCAGCCACAATATTCCTGCTGCATTTAATGCACGCAAATTCCTCTGGCTGCAGTTTTGGGTTTCCATCAGCAGTACTGCCACATCAACACAGCGCAGAACACATCAAAAGGGCTCAATGTCTCTGAAACCAAATCTTTCAGGCGTCCTTCCTGGGGTCTTGGACACTGAAAGATTTAATTTCCACAGCGAGGTATCTATTTTAAGGTGCATGGCACTGAGCGAGTTAGTCTGTGGAATCTGAGAGAAGGAGAAGTGCTATTTTCAGCAAAAATCTAACCGTGTTCTCCCAGAGCGGGTGACGAAACGGGGCTCGCTTGCCCCCGGGTCTGGATTCAAATCAATAGCAGATGAAAATGAGCCGCATTGCAGAAACACCTGAACAAAAAAAAGGATCAGACATCTGCCTCGCCTGAGCTGGGCTTCATAATCCATCCTTAAAATAGCCCGCTGCACAAGTTCAGCTTTATTACTGAAAGTCACAGTTTGGGATTTGGGGACATCTTTAAAGGCTTGAAGTTATTTTAAACTGCTAATGATTTGCATAAGTTGTTTATAGGGAATAAGAGCGCCAGAGGATTGAGAAAAGCTGAGATGTGCAGGCTGAGGGAGGCACTTTTCCCACCTCTAATTTGTAGTTGTTCTCTCCTGCAGCTCTCTTCAGGAATCCATGAGAATGCGTAAACTATAATACACCCAAATCAAAACAAGTACAATCCCGAGCTTGTGTGTCCTGTGCCTGTGTGTACTCAGCTGTGGAAAACATCAGATGCTTGAACTTGCGTACCGTAGGGGCCTGGATTAATAAGAGATAATAAAAAACACTTGGACGACCGCCACCAAAATTCTCTATTAATGCGGAGCAGTGCGAAATCAAAACACAAGGAGTCTGAGAAAAGAGCGTGTTGAGGGTCAGAAGACAAGCCGAAGGGACACTGGCTCTGTTTCTCAGCCAGCACGGATTATCCCATACATTATGAGTTTGACATTTGAGCCAATTCTTCTTGTTTTGGTCAGATGAATTATTAGATGATACTGCTGATAAAATGACTCCTTTCTGTCGTACTGCACGTCACTGAAAGCTGTGGAGACAAAGGAAGTCCAATGTTATGTTATGCATGGGGTTTTTGTTGTTGTGTTTTACTTGTTGTTTGCTCCTTTTACCCCTCACTACTCTGTCTCTGCAGGGCTGGTGTGTGACAGGGGGCATGGCTGGTATACTCCTGGCTGCAGATGAGGCACACCTGTCCCCACTCACACGATCGACCTGCTCTTTAAGAGCTTGGCCCTCACCTCACTTCTCTGCCAGATAATTACATGCTGTTCCACGGTCCGGAGTGCCTTTCTGCAGCCTGGAGTCTGTTTTGTTCACTTCACAGTTTTTTGAGGAGCTTTTTTTTTTGTTTTTGTCGGGAACGTTTTCCCTCAGCTTTGTTTTTGGACTTACTGCAGCCAGCCAGCTCCCTGTCGTCAGTACCTGCCTTGGACTACCTTCCTTTATTAAACACATTGAAACTTTATTTTTGTCAGTCTCTGCTTTGGGGTCCAAGTAGTATCCAAACGTCACATCCAATCGAGAACGGCATCGTGACTTATAGTTCAGAGTCTACGTTTTGCATATTAGGTATTTTCAATTATCAGTACATTTACTCAATTACTCTACTTAAATACTATTTTGAGGTACTTAACCAAGGAGTATTTCCACATAACTACATTTTGGAGGCAAATATTATACTTTTTACTTCCCTACATTTATCTGACAGATTCATTTACTATTTAAGTTCATATGATTAATAGAAAAATATATAAATCAAATGATAGATTACAATGTAGTATGATACAAAGTTTACCTTTACAAGCTGCAAAATTAAAATGATGTAGACATTAATGGGTCTAATCATAATCCAGGGATATAATATACACACACACTATTAGGAAAATGGACCTTCTGCATAATACATACTTATAGTTTTGGTACTTTAAGTACATTTTGATGCTAACACTTTTGTACTTTAACTTAAGTCGATTGTTAATACAGGACTTTTAGTTGTATCAGAGTATGTATACACTGCGGTATTACTACTTTCTACTTAAAGGTGACCTATCAGGCCAAATGCACTTTTGTACGTCTTTTATATATGTGTCCCCGGTGTTCCAGGGAACTCACCAAGAGTCAGAAAACACAACCCTCTCTATTTTCCTCCATACCCAAATCTCTTAAAAAGGGGCTGCAACGGATCTGATACAGACTGATCCAGATTTGAACACTTCTATGACGTCACAGAAGTGGCGCTACGGCTATTGGGCCAACTCCACCAATCAGGAGGAGACAGCCACGGACATTGCCGTTGGAAAGCGCTGGAGACGCTGTAGTACATATGCCAGGCCTGTAGATGGTACTGTTCTCACAGAATCAGCCCATGATGCAAAGACAGTGTTAAATTGAGCGAAATGAGGAATGGCTAAAATGCATGATCTGTTTGGTATTTTGAAAAATACAAATAATAAATATGCCTTATATAGGTATGGTCCTACACTATATTATTCAAATATAGCATGATAGGTCCACTTTAAGTAAAGGATCTGAGTACTTCTTCCACCTCAGCATTTCACTGATAATACTTTTGTACTTTTCTAAAGTAAAATTGCAAATTCAGGATTTTTACTTGTAATTTTAAGAACATAGTCATTTAACTTTACTTAGTGCTAACTGAGAGTGATTTGTCTACCTCTGGGTATTTCAGCAAAGCTAACGTCATAGCTCTATGGATGGAAATGGCTAATCCAACATTTAGCTTCAGACTAAAATGACTCACTATTAAATGGAATGCTGTAAACTTTAGAACAAATATCCATCTCCCCAGAGGATGAATCCTATTATTTGGTGATGCTTAGACTTGTGTCCAAAACTAAAGTACATGTTTTGGTTTGTAGCAAATAAAATACTGAGGAATATCGACATACATTACATTACATGTCATTTGTTAACAAACATTCAGTACTGTGGACAATCCCCACAGGAGCATTTTAGGGTGAAGTGTCTTCCCCAGGGACACAACGACATGCTGCTGTAGGGTGAAGTGTCAGCGTACCAACTGGGCCACATGCCCAGGGTCTGCCAGGTACACAACCGACATGCTGACTGTAGTGGGACTTTGAACTTGCTACCCCCTGATTTGAAGTCCCAGCCACACTACCGCACTGAGCCACAGCCTCCACATAGAGACGAATAGTGTCCTTTGGGAAATGATTGAAATTCCCTTTGAGCTCTGCCGGCGTGCTGCTAAATTGCTGACACTAAACTGGTGACCTCCCTGTGGGGCAGAGACGACGAGCTTTTCCTTAAGAACATCAACAAATGTGAACATTGTTGTGGGGTTTGGAGACCACCGCCAGCTTCTTTCGGAGGCCAGGGATTCCTCGCAAAATGAGATTGTGATGTGTTTACTGTAACATTCACTTCACTGTCCCGGCTTTTGAGATATATAAACAGACATCCGCCTAAGAGCTCGTCATGGATGGCAGGTTTTCTGTCAGAACAGAAGTGACCGAACATTGCCGCGCTTTAGAATAAGCAGAGCCTGGAGAAAAATAAATGGACACAAACAAACGAGAGTAACAGTAACAGTCTACCAGAAAGAGGCCCGGAAACCCTACAGACTCTTCGTTTCTGGGGGCACAGGATTGCTGCGCTAAATTTCTGAATCGTTACCCGAAAATGAGTCGTGTCGTCAGCAGTCAGTCTTTCAGTTTGTAAGAATTATGACCAAATATAGGCAGCTGGTTGAATTTTGAGGTGCTTTATCATTTCCACCTTCTACAAATAGTTTGCGATGAGAGAATCCTGCTATAAATCATAGAAAGACTCCAAGAATCATCGGCAGTTTATACAGGAAGACGGCTGACGAAGAGGTTGCGTGTCAACATGCACAGACTAACCGGTCCGACGGCTCGGAAACACATCCAAGTGGAAAAGTGGTAAAGTGGGATCACATGAGGCAGCACTGGTACATACTGGCATAAACACCGGAGCTGGTTATGACTCAAGGCACCACACATGGGCGGAGCTCTTGGAAAAAAGGGTTGAGCCCCCCCCATCAAACACACACCAGCAGGAATACTCTAATCAACAGCGTACTCACTCGGCCGCTGCTCTAATCCTCCCATATCTGCGCTTTCCTTCTCGCGCCTGCGGTGTCACAGTCTCGCGTGATTGGATCGACCCGGTCATGATTCCATCAGGTGTCATGGCAACAGATTAAACGCGATCCTCTTCACTGGATCCCTCTTAATCTGAAGCACAATCCAACGGTGCAACGAATGCTGTATGCGCACCGCTCTTTATCCAGATCCACCGTTTCCGGAGGACGTTCTTGAGAGCAAAGTGCGCTTGACACATCTCAGGTCGACTCACCTAAGACTCGTTTGTTGATAAGACTGTTCCGAGTAACGCTGACGGCTTTGTACAGTGAGCTCAGGAGCGAAATGGAATTTACAAAGAACCATTAGCATCCAAACTGAGAGACCGAAGAACACACATGTTTGCTTCTGAACATCAAGCCAACTGCACGGCATAATTTACTTAAACTTAAAGACCTTTAATGCTTTGGGTTTTCCTTGCGGCGGATAGGATTGTTGTGCATGTAAGCTGGTTGCAAAGGCTAAAATCCCAAAGACCCCCTCCAGGGAGTGTTCTCTCCCACAACACTCAAGGATGAACTGATTAAA